TAAAAAAAGAGTTTGTTAAACTGCTGCCACTTCATGAACATACTAGGGGAGAAGACATATTTAACGTGTTCCTTAAATTTGTGAAAGAATGTAACTTATCACTTTCAAAACTTGTTGCTATAACTACAGGCAACAACTGATTGCCAGACAGGCAATCAGGGACTGGACAAATATGATTCACAATACTGAGGATTCTTGACTGGACTCAGGCAAGCAAAGGGACTCATACGAGGACCCTCTGCTAAAAGAGTGAATGAACTGTTGAAGATAAACAGTAACCAGCTACGATGGGTGGTGGGACTACTTACAGGACACTGTCACCTTAAAGAACACCTCTTCAAACGGGGACTAAGTGATAGTCCCACTTGTAAAACGTGTCAAGAAGAAAATGAAACAGCCACACATATCCTGTGTAAATGTGAGGCCTTAACTTATTTAAGATTATGTCTCTTGGGTCAATACTTTATGGATCCAAGTGACTATTTCGACGCCCCCACATACAAAATCCTGTGCTTCAATTGAAGTGCAGGATTGCTGAGGGGATAATCAAAAGGGGAAACACAATAGACTACTGTAGGTCGCAGGGCGAGGGCCGAGAAGGCCCACCCTTATACATTCATTCATTCATTATTTGACATTAGTTATTTGGTCAGTGCCTCATTTTACAATGTATTTTGTCCGCTCTGTTGAGTTGCAATCTATATTCCCAACAGAGTGGACAAAATACATTGTAAAATGAGGCACCGGCCAAACAACTAATGTCAAATAATACTACATCTATACCACGGGCCTACAAGCAGTTTACTATATGTATACAAGTCTTGAATATACCATTATATTCGTGGGAATATAACAAGATTGCAAAAACCGACTTCACATGAAGAGTTTTTAACCATATTTTACTCCATAATTTTCGTTTTTTAATAAGTTTATAATTCATTGTATTTTTGTACCATGTATTTTATAATGTAACAGTTATCAAGTATCCTGCTTTACTATCACAATGAAGTTGCAGTTCAATAATGTGTGAATATAGTAATCATGTGTTTTGCCTGATGATGGCTTTAAAAGCCAAAACATGTAGCTAGGTAACTTTAACCTTGACTGTTATTTTGTTGTGTTACAACAGACTCCAATAAGGAATTGTATGTTCAAAATTATTGAATTTTCATGTCACAAGGGGAGAGCACTGAGCAGATTTTAGGGATAATTGGCATAATACCCCAGCATTTTTATTAAAATATAATTCACATATATCTAAAATTTGTTATATCCTGCACAAGGTTTTGATATTTACTTATTCTTGCCAATGTTTACTTCTTATAATTCACTTGTTCATATCTTCATAAAAATAAAATTACCAGGACCATGAGCATCAAACAGTATAATGCAATATGACGTCAACTCATCGTATAACTCAGTCACATCTTTGATGGTATGCATCCTGTTGTGTGTCATATGAAAGGTATATAATGGGACAGTCTACACAATAGTTATGAAAGAGACAAATAGACACTACTGTGTCAATATTTGGTTTATTAGCGGTTGGTGGCAGTTTCATTTATCTGACTATCAACTGGCATCAGAATCTGGAAGTTCTGCAACTTCTTTGACAAAGTATCAGTATATATATTACAACATTCATTCCGAAATGCCCACATACCAAATAACATTGTTACATCTGATGTTTTGGAACACTTGATATCTGATTCAGTAACCAATTATGATCTTGTTCACTATTATTTCCCTTCATACCATTACACTGTCTTCTTACACTCGCTAACTTGCATCTATGACTCTTTATCCATGCACAAATGTTGTTGCCTCTTCCAGCTAACAATCAAGCTCCACTCAGCTCAGCCACTTCCCTCAGACTGCTCTGCTGAACATCATAAGTAGAGTTTTATGATGGTTACAACTTCGAAAATGGTTAAGTCATAACGCGACTGTAATTCTCCACTTTTCTCAAAAACAAAAAGGGGGATGGGACTTGTCAAAGCCTTAAGAGGCAGGTGTATGCCAGGCAAGACACTCTGCCCCCCTTCACCACTCAGTCCAGCAACAATATAACATAACTCTTCCTAGATGTGAGGCACTATGCTACAAGCCAGAAGGTCACAGGATCGAATGCCAATGAGGTCATTGGATTTTTCAATTGACCTAATCCTTCAGCCACACTATGGCCCTAGGGTCGACTCAACCTCTAACAGAAATGAGTACCAGGAATTTTCCTGGTGGGTAAAGGGCCACCTATGAACCAACTGTCTAGATGTGGGAGCCTTGACCTCCCACAATCCTATTGACCTTCAGAGCCTGCTACAGGGACTACTTTAACTTTTTACATATTTATACTTACCAAAATAGAAAAGCAATGTGTTAAGTTCCACTGCGAGCATTTAGGAACTGCAAGTTGTGTAAAAATAGCTTTCTGGTAGAACAATCAATTCCTACGGGTATAGTTCTTACAAAATCTGTGATACTACAGAAGCCAAATGAATGAATTCATATCTGGGTCCACAGTTCTTCTCATGAAGTTTTTAGTCAAGATATTCCCTGCCTTTTATAGAACTCGAAAGTCCATTGCTCCCTTCATTAGAACCTGATACTGACCTTATCCTGAGGCAGATGAATCTTGTCTACACTCTCAAAACATATTTCTCTAAGTTCCCACCTTTCCTTTGGGTGCCTTCATTAGCACTCTTCTCTATAGTTGTGTGACTAAAAATGTTATTTCATATCAATGAAAATAAATAGATTTTTATATGCAATCACAGTATATATATATTGTGACATGTTGCGCAAAGGAGAACCCCCCCCCCACCAGCAGTGACGCGGCGGGTGAGTCAGC